TCGTGTCTATATAAGAACGCGATGGCAACCAACGGTAGGCAATTTAACGTTTCCAGCCGCATCATCATCCTAGCACGCGAACGGTAACTTTGCGCCTGCGGAAATGACCACTGCCCTGTCAACATATTAAGCCTATAGGGGCTTAACCCCCAGACATGTGCGTTATCACGCTTTTATTTAATTCGCTTATCCGCGCCCTTATCGTCCAAATACCATTTGGATCAGCGAATGTATCTCCGTACACACCACACAGAGCACACACACACACACACACACACAGCACCACACACACACACACAACACCAACACACAACACACACACACACACACACACACATACATTACTATATATTATATATATAGACGCAGTTTTGACCGTACATGCGGTCATGTCACATCAGAGCTGGAGTGTATATTACTGTATTGCGTGGCAGACCACGTGTTGGATATATATGGCAACCACCGAGCGGTGCGTTGGTCGCGGCGATTTTGACGCATTGCCATTCTCGTGTTACTACTGTTCGGTGAGGCCTGGTGCATCGTTAGGCGGTTGCTTACTGCCTAGGACACTGTGTGTGTTGCTTCAGTAGTAGTGCGCGTACGATTGGCGTGGCGAAGGTCGGATGTTCACGGAGTCAGCAAGGGGGAGTTATGTTAGTGTTTTTTCGAAGTGCGCACGAGTAATGGACGCCAGGCGGCCGACGAATTGGACGCGAAGATGCCCGACAATGAGGGATGCGCTGCGGGCCGTCTGCGGACTCAGATCGTGTAGCCTGAGTGCGTGCGTGCTGTGCGTGCGTGCGGAGTGCATTTGCCTGTGTGCATCACGTGGTGTGTGTGTGTGTGTGTGTGCGTGCGGCGTGCATGCATGTGTGCATGTGTGCATCAGCCGTTCGTGTGTGGCGTGCGCTGCCGTGCGTGCGTGCGTGCGTGCGTGCGTGCGTGCGTGCGTGCATGCATGTGTGCATGTGTGCATCAGCCGTGTGTGTTGTGTGTGCGTGCGTGCGTGCGTGCGTGCGTGTGCGTGTGCGTGCGTGCGTGTGTGTCCGGTATCGCAGCGCGCAGTGCGTGTGCTGCGTCTATGATGATGCTAGGTGGCGTGTGTCGCGTGCGTGCCGCTGCGTGCATGCGTGCGTGCGTGCGTAATGACCAAGGCAGGGAGCTGAATCTGCAAAGACGCAGCAGGCGTTTACTTATAATTACCTCCGCGCAACGGAGGTGCATCGTAATCGGTCTCGTAGTCTGTGTTCGTGTGTGTGTTGTGTGTGTGTGTAGCGTTGCGCGATCGATTCAGCAGCAGCTCGCCTTGAAGGCGCCGTCAGCAGCAAGCTGCTGCGGCCTTAAGGCGTTCAGTCAGCCCAGCAGCCAGCAGGCGCCAGCTGTTAGTACCATACATTGCAGGACTTAATGAATCGACAAAATTATTTGTCATTAATTTGTCATTATTTAGTCTCCTTGATACATGTTAACACCCGCTCCGCGGAGGTATGCACTGCTCCCGTGAGTGGCCCTCTGTCTAGTTAGCGTTATGCGAGTCGGACCGGTTAGATCCAGACCAGATGGAGACTGCGATGTTACGAAAAAAGATTAACAGCGCTGTAGCTTGTGGGCAGGCAGAGAGAAAGAGGGGGGGGAGTGAAAGGGGAGAGCAGCGGTGACAATTTAAGAGAGAAAGGAGGAGTTGTGTATGAGAGAGCGCGGAAGAGAAGGGAGAGAGGAGAGCTTAGGGGAAGATAGCGAGAGAGAGAGAGAGATGAAGAGAGAGGGGAAAGAGAGAGAGAGAGAGCGCGCGCGCAGAACGCGAGAGAGGAGAGAGAGAAGAGAGAAAGAGAGAAAGGAGAGAGGGGGGAGAGAGAGAAGAGAGAGAGAGAGAGAGAGAGAGAAGAGGGAGAGAAGGAGCGCGCGGGGAGAGAGGAGAGGAAAAGAGAGAGAGAGAGAGAGGGAGGGAGAAGAGAAGACAGAGGGGAGAGAGAGAGAGAGAGAGAGAGAGAGACAAGAAGAGAAGACAGACAGAGAGAGAGAGAGAGAGAGAGAGAGAAAGAGAGAGAGAGAGAGAGGAGAGAGCCAGAGAGAGAGAGAAGCAGAGAGGAGAGAGAGAGAGAGAGAGAGAGAGAAAGAGAGAGACAGACAGGGAGATAGAGAGAGAGAAGAGAGAGAGAGAGAGAGAGAAGAAAGGAGAGGAGAAAGGAGAGAGAGAGAAAAGAGGCGAGCGAAGAGAAGAGAGAGAGAGAAAGAGGGAGAGAGACGAGAGAAGGAGAGAGAGAAAGAGGGGAAGAGAGAGAGAGGGGAGAGAAGAGAGAAGAAAGAGAGAGAGAGAGAGAGAGAGGAGAGAGAGAAGAGAGAAAGAGGAGAGTAGAGAGAGAGAGAGAAAGAGGAGAGAGAGAGAGAGAGAGAAGAGAGAGAGAGAGAGAAAGAATGGGAGAGAGAGAGGGGGGAATGAGAAGAGAAGAGGGAGAGAGAGAAGAGAGACGAGAGAGAGAGAGAGAGAAAGAGGGAGAGAGAGAGAGAGAGAGAGAGAGAAGAGGAGAGAGAGAGAGGGAGTAGAGAGAGCAGAGAACGCAAGTCCGACGTCTTTGCGATCGTAAACATTTCTCGCGCTACTAGCCATATACATAGTATGCAAGAGCTATAAACAACCCATCTATTATTACGCTCTTGTAGCTCTTGATTGATTAGGGCTCTTTATAGTTCAGGAGTTTAATAAGACAAAACTTTGTCTTTATTAACTCCTGAAATAGTAATATATAAGTATATTATATAGACATGGAGATAGCTGGGGAACGTCGCGAATGCGCGGTATACATTCAGTGAAAACATGAACCAGCAGAGGCGATGTACAGGATTTGTACAGGGGGGGGGGGTCTAAAACCGTAACCCAAATGTGCGAGGGACACTGCGTAAGAGGGGTCTGGAGGTGTCCCTCCCCAGAAATTATTTTTTGAATAAATAGATTAGTCCTCTTAGATTATGCTTTTTCTTCTGCGGACGAGTCAAGGGGGAACAGGGGGGTCCCGGACTCCTGGGACCCCCCCCCCTGTACAGCGCCCCTGTGAACATGTATGATGGTTGTGATAAGGTCAAAGGGCGAGGTGAATACGCGTGGCCCGATCGGCATGAGCAACTTAATTTGCGACCGACTTCTGTCGTCTAGCAGCACGGCATATATCTACTGTATGCGCTGTCAACGCGGCTTAGCGCGGGAAAATAGGTCGCGTGCTATTTTTTTAAACTGTAATCTTTTTTTGCAAAGTATTGTTTTGTACGCCGTGAGTATTATAGTGTAGGACGCGCGTCAGGCCTGTTACTAGAGATATATGACTGATATCAACACACTATATAAATAAATACGTAAGTAAGTAAATAAATAAATATATAAATATATAAATAATTATATATATATATATTATATATATATATATATTATATATATATATAGTATATAACTATATCATCCTAATCCTAACACAGCTAGTGCTGCCACGTTGCGGTACTGCCTCTCCACGCCCGGGGATTAGCATTTCCCGCAGGAAACAGATAAAGAAGAAAGATGGATCTCTTTCCAGCAACCTAGTGTCATCGCCTACACACACTTAAAGTTCCCACTCCGGCAGCACTGCTTTCTTGCGTAACTGATGCTGAGAAAAACTTCTTCCGCTGCCGCGTATTTTTAGCTTCGAGCGCTCGAACCATCTCTGACCCCATCGCAGAATCGCGAGCGACCGAATAAGATCACGCAGTGTTCGTTTATGTAGTAATGTGAGTGCCTGGTAGTATACCTGCACTGTTCCAGTCGTTGCCGCACGTGCTCCAGGGCAGCTCCCAGTGAAACGAGTGGAACATGTAGAAGAAGGAGTAGCCGTTGAGAACGTTGTAGTACATTCCCAGTAGAAACGACACGACCACCATCGCATATCCAGTACCTGTGACGGGAGAGAGAGAGAGAGAGAGTTAAAAGAGAGAGAGGAGGGTGAAGTAGTACGAGAGAGAGAGAGAGAGAGGGGAGGGACAACAGCGAGTGGAAGAGAGATATAACATGAAAGCGTGCGAAAGAGAAAGGAGAGAGTGAGAGAGAGAGTTAGAGAGAGAGAGAGAGAGAGAGAGAGAGAGAGAGAGAGAAAGAAAGAAAGAGAGAGAGAGAGAGAGAGAGAGAGAGAAAGAGAGCGCGAGCGAGCGAGTGGGAGAGAGAAGTGGGTCAGGGTAGACCACAGGCACCTGAGAAAGAATAGTTAGGTAGACATTACATTTTTTGACGGACAGGATTTTCTCGATGCTCTCTAGCGTGTGCCAGAGTGCCTAAGGCTCATAGGGTCTATGTCCCCCAGGGTACTGCCGGAACGTACCCTGGGTACGGTCCGGTATACCGAAACGTACCCTGGTGACTATTTGATATGGTTAGAGTTAGGATTAAGGTTAGGGTTAGGGTTAGGATTAGGGTTAGGGTTAGGGTTAGAGTTAGGGAGTAGGCGTAGGCGACTCCCTAGATTCGTTAGAGGAGTAGGCGAGGTACGGTCCGGCATATTAGATAGTACCAGGGTACGTTCCGGTATACCGGACCGTACCCAGGGTACGCTCCGGCAGTACCCCGGGGGACATAGACCCTCTCAGCGTAACTAAGCAGCAGCCAGACAGCGCGGCTGACAGTCTGGATGCGAAATGCTCACCTTGAAATAACGGAGCCACTTTCCATATCGTAACTGGGCCGAGACTCGCGTACTGGCCAAATGCGAGTTCCATGAAGAAGATTGGCAGACCAGCGACGAGCAAGCTCACGGTGTATGGTATGAGAAAGGCACCTGAAACACAAGGCACAGTGCAAAAACGCACGTGTGGGGGTTTAGCGTTACACTCTTGGCACACCCGCCGGTCGCCGACACTATTTACAAATAAATAACCAATAAGATTCTTCTTACAGACGCTTGTTATGTGATAGTGGCCCTAATAATAAATATATAATCCTAATTCGGACCCTAACCCTAAAACTAGCCATAACTTAAATTCTCACCCTAACCCTAACCGGTAAACACTCTACCCTACGGCTAACGGTAATCCCAACCCTAACCCAAATCCTAACCCTAATACTAATCCTAGCCTTTACTGTAACGATAATAACTACGTTATAGCTCTAGCAATAGCACTACGATTTCTCTACTGCTAATAATAATTTTAACCTTTTAAAACGCTCTACGATTCTACTTTCTGTGAAGCGCCCGGGTACGCCTACATTTTACAACCCGCAGAATCACGTCAAGCAACCCACATACGCGATACACACTGGCACCCTCCCGCTCGGTACTCACCCTCCCGTCGGTAGACACCCTCCCCTTCGGTAGTGACCCTCCCCCAGGATAGGCACCCTACCGAGAGGGAGGGTGTCTACCGAGAGGGGGGTGCCTACCGAAAGGGAGGGTGTCTAACTAGGGGGAGGGTGTCTACCGAGGGGGATCACCCTCCCCCTAGATAGGCCCCCTCCCTCTCGGTAGACACCCTCTCCCTAGATAGGCACCCGCCCTCTCGGTAGTCACCCTCCCCCTAGATAGGCACCCTCCCTCTCGGTAGACACCCTCTCCCTCGGTAGTCACCCTCCCCCTCGGTAGTCACCCTCCCCTCGGTAGACACCCTCCCCTAGATAGGCACCCTCCCCCTCGGTAGGCACCCTCCCCATCGGTAGTCACCCTCCCCCTCGGTAGTCACCCTCCCCCTCGGTCGTCACCCTT